AAGTTTCTTTTTTTGTTGCTCTCATATTATGTTTATTTTAAATGAGAAATAAAAAATATTAATCATTTTATGCAATATGATTTTATCCATTATACAATACAAAAAAAAAAAAAAAAAGAAATAACCAAATATCCACTGTTTATGAAAATTTTAAATCTTAAGAATAATGTTGCAGAATTCCAAGGAAAATATATATATTTAAAAATTCTATATTTTTAATATAATTATTTTAAAAACATCTTTTTTCATTATAATGAAAATTAATTAAAATATAATATTGATTATTGTTAAAATAAGTATTGCTTATAAATATTTATATATAAAAACACAAATATTTGATGATAAAAATTATAGAAAATAATAGTGTATAATATTTTTATAACTAACAATATTTACCGCCATTCTCGCTATTTATCAACATCTATTTAAAAAAACTAATAAAATGAATATTGAATAAATAAATAAATAGTCAAATAGTTAAATTAATATTAAAAAAAATATTTAAAATTTTGTATATAAATCTCTAAATTTTATTTCGATTTATTTCGTGATCACATTTTACGCTTTATTTTAATTCATTCAACAATGGCAAATTTTTAAATGGTTGTTTGTTTAGTAAAAAGTTCCTTATAATATCGAACATTTATTATAATATTAAATATTACGCACATATTTAATATATATATAAGATTTTTTTCTAGCAGCATTGATATATCAAAGCATGATATACAAAAAGAAAATAAATAAATAAATTATAAAATGTCAAATTAAAAAGAAGTAAATTATTAGAAAATATAAAATATAATATTATTTTAAAATTAAAATGAAAAAAATTAAATTTTTGTTACATTACTTTATTGCATTTTATTTATATTATATTAAGTGCATTGAATACATTTTATTTTTATTATACAATAAATACAACTTTCAATTTAATTATTTTTTTTAATTATTTAATTATGTATATAAAAAATCTATTTAATTATATATAGTATAATTTTTTTAAATATAAAATTTTTAATTATAAAATAAAATTTATTAAATTGATATATGTACAGATTGATATATATCAATCTATTTGTATTGATCAAAATAACTTGTTTATAAAATTGTAAATAAATTCTTTTTATAATAATTTTATGTTAAAATTTTGTATTAAAACAGTAATAAAATAAAATAAAACAGTAATAAAATTTATTGTATAGTATAACATATATGTATGTAGTTTTATTAATCTTAACATTTACTAATCCTTTGACAAATCTATAATGTAATGTATACAATTTATCTAACATTTTGATATTTTTTTCTCACATTTATTTTATTATAAATAAATAGTCATCTTTAAAATATGAGAAAATACATCATAAAAAAACTAGATTACTAGATTTATAAGTAACGATTAAATAAGTAAAAAATAAGAAATCTAAGGTTATTTTAATAAGACATGATTCAATACATACCCGTTCCAGTTTTTGAAAGTATTCTCTCAAGAAAGATATGGGATTTTCAGGACGACCTACACACAGCTGCACTATACAGTCTTTTAAAACTTGTTGAATATTGTGTCTTTGTACGTATTCCTCGCACTCTCTTAAACTTTGCTCTTCTTCGAGATTCGCCGCCATATTGATACACGAGTTGACACGTTATAGCAAATACCTCTTCAACAATTCCGTTCTTGGCTTTAATAGTGTAAATATATTATTTCTTATAGATAACTTCAATTGTTTTATATAAAGAATATCGATACATCTAAATATTTATATTTCTCATTACAGTCTATAATTAACTTTCTATAATATCTTTTCCGAGATTTTAATTTAATAAAGAATATTGATATTACATATATGTAAATTTGAAAATAAATTTTCTTTTATTTCATTTTTGTTTCAAAAACATATATCTGTAATTGTTTAAATAATTTAAATAATATAATAAATTTTTTATTAAAATTTAATAAAAATTTTCTAACTCATATTTCTATATATAAAATATTATTTTTTATACATAAATATTTATATTATATATATAATTATATATTATTAAATATATATAATATATATATATATATATTATATATATATAAATATTAAAAATAATGAAGATTTTTTTTCTATGATGAAAATATAAATAAAAATTCTCTACATATTATAAAACAAATATAATTAATAATTAATATATTATATATGGATAGGTGGTAGGAAAATTCAAAAAAATATTATAAATTTACATTTATAACTTTCTAACAATAATATATTTTAAAACATATTGTCAATGGGTGGATAAACATTATAATACATAAACTATATTTTAAAATATAAGATAAATATTTTTTGTATGTTTTCTTGTCTTTGATAATTGTATTTCTGTAATCCCATATCATTCTGATGTCAATTTAAACAAAGTTTTTCATTATTTAAATAAAGAAAAAGAAGAAATGGGATTTCAGAATTATCAGTTTTAAATTAAAATATTATTTAAAAAATGTATATATATTCTATATACATAATGTATAATGTATTTAAAAAAAAATATTTATATGTAAATATCAATACATTGTAGAATTCACAAAAATTATATTAACATTATAATGAATTTAATTTAAAATAGTTATAATAATATAAATTATATCATCTATATTAGTATTTATATTTATTAAAATTATATTTGATTGTATTATATTTTAATTAAAAATTTACCAAATTAGATATATTCTATTCTTTATATTTATGTATAAATAAATATTTATTATTAAAAAATTATAGAAATTTTCGTGAATTCTTCAATGATTTTATTTAAAAAAGTAATTTCTTAAATAATAATTAATGATAAATAAATATGTTTATCATTGTTCAATTTTTATAGTTCAATTACTTATTTTACTTATTTAATCTAATTGTGCAGTTTTTTTTAATAATAATCTAAATTTAATTATAGAATATATGCGGTGTATATATATAATAAAAAATAGCAATGTTATAGAATATTGCAACATATGCATTTAATAATTGCAATTGTTTTAAGAATGTATTGATTTGCGTACATGTTGGAATTACTGTTATGTTCCTTTATATTTTATTAAATTGCAAATCTAACAAGTGATTGACTATGAATAATAATTCCCTGTATCTGAATTTTTTTTTATAGTTTTGATCTTTCTAACAACATTAAAATTTATAAAATTCACCGCAATGTTTCTGTAATTAAATTCATTAATTAGTTGCACTTAATATCTAAATCATATTATTATTTAATATTATATGCATATGTTTATTTTATAAATAAATAACATTAAAAAAACATTATTTTATCAAAAATATTATAAAATACTAAAATATAATAAAATAATTCTTTCTAAAGTGCCTTTTAACTATGATAAATTATTATAATATTAAAAATTCTGATAACAATTTAGTAGTTTAGTTAACTTTTGAAAATAAAACAAAAAAAATTAATTATATTTTATATAAAAACAATTTCTTTTATGATTGTTATTGTAATATATATATATTTATAGGCACTTTCTACAATTTTAATTGAATATTTTTAAAATGTGCAAATTAGAAATAAAATTTTTAATAATTTTTTTATTAAAATTCTATTAAATTTTTTTTATTAAATTTCTATATAAATGCTAAAAATATGTCTTTTTTAAATAGTAAATCATTAACTAAGAAAATTGAATAATTAATTAAAGAATAAATTATATATATTTTTATATGTAATTATAAGCACATACAGTTTTATTATTTTTTTGAAGTAGTTATGATAAAATTGTCATATTTTAATAATAAAAATTGTGTACCATGATTAATATAAAGTGCAGTTTGTAATCTAAACAGCATTTGTTTTGTTTCTTGATTTATTATACATTTATTGCTCTAAATAGATTTGTAAATTGATAGATTAATTGCATATTGTATTATTATAAATTGATAGAATAATCACAGAATGTGATATTTGTTTTAAGTAACTTTTAATGTAATTAGTATTTTAAATGGGAATGAAATCATACAATGTAATAAGTTATCATGCATAGTAGAATTTTCATATAATAATAAAAAAAATATCTAATAAACAACATTTTAAATCTATTTAGATTCATATTGAATGTAAAAATGAAAATTTATTAAAAAATAATTAAGAATTTAACTACTTATTAAATTTATTAATGCTAAGTTTCAATAAATTAATTTTTTTTCTTATAATTTCTCTCTCATTTATATATATATTTGTAAATAAAGTTGTTTAATAGATGATCACCATGATCTACTGTTATTACTACTTATTGCTATTAGATAATTACACCATAATTTATTTCGTCTTAAGTAATACTGATTTATAATTAATATCAAGTTAATATAATTTTGAATCTGTGTTTAACATAATATGAAATTTTCTAATATAATGCATATTTGTTAATATTAAATGCATAAAATTTGCTGTTCTAAAGTATGCTTAACTAATGAATTTTTTTAACTTATTAATTACATCTTGTTCATGGTTTTTAAGGCACCAGATATAGATGAAAAAAAATTTAATACATAATATGCAACTTATTGCTTAAAAAAGATTGCCTTATCATTGGAACTTAAAAATCATGAACGAGCACAAGTTTTTTTTAAATTTCTAACTTAAGATTTTTCTTTTCATAATAAATGCAAATATGATTGTTACATAAAAGAAAATAAAAATTTTAAAACAAAAGTAATAATATTTGTATTTTATAATCAATTTAAAATATACCAACAAAATATAAATTTATTAAAAAATGTTTAATATATTGAATATAAAAAATAAATAGCAGTGCTTTAAGTTATAATGCTTTAAATTAATAATAAGATACACAATAAATAAAGTAATTTTTAGTAATAAAATCACTATGAAAAATATGAAATTTCACTATTATTTTATAGAAATAAAATTAGAAACATAAAAATAAAATATTTATATAATTTTCAAAAACAATAAAGAGCTTTTTTAAAAATTGACTAGTATTTTATGTTATTAATCTAATTTATTAATTAGAATATTTCTGTTTATGCAAATATGCGAATATTGAATAGTGATCCATTTTCTGATTTATTTGGCATAATACTTACTTCATTTTTAATTACTTCATTTTTAATAATACTTACTTCAATTTTATGGAGTTGTTGATGTTAAAAATGTTGGATCAACTGCAGCAACCTTTGCAGTTAAAAATGCATGCATACAGAATAATAAATTCTGCAATTGAGAACATTCCAATTCCTACAAATGAAATGTAGAGATAATAAAATTTATATATATTAATTCTGCTTATAATAAATAAATACCTTTGTCTCAATAGCAATACTATCCGATTCTTGAAAGTGTAATTTTAATCTACTTTTTCCATCATCACTAGATCCTCTTAATTGTGAAAATTTATAACGCCATACAGTCTCTCCAATGTCATCATAAGAAAGTGTAAAACCTTGAGTCCATTCTAGAGTCAAACCTGCACTTTTTCCATTAAAAGTAACTGGAAATGTTTTACTCTATAAAAAATAGAAACATGTATAATAATAATAAATTTTAAAAATAATTTTCAACAAAACACATAAGAATCAATTACTAACTTTCAAATGTGTAACAGCCGAACATACTGCAGTATGCCATGCTGCTTCTACTCTTAATAGTTCTTGTCTAGTTTCGACACTTAAATATCGCGGTGGTTTACCTGGACTTTGTGCTAAAAAACAATGTTGTCTTTCATCAACATTTTCGGATTCTCGCATTACGCGAAACATTGTTTGATATACTTTAAAAGTCAATGCACATCGTGACCAATCTCCTATATTGCACTAGAAATAAATTGTTAACATTTATGCACAACATGAATTGTTAAAATTTATTTAAATATATGTTAATTATAATATTAGTAACACTTACAGGAGGTGTTTCAAATAATAACAAATCAGGTCCTTTTAATGCTAAAAATCTTGGTCTATAACTTTGCCATGGTTGATTACTATTACTTACTGCTTCATTAACCCATCCCATATATTCTATACGTTCACCAACTCCAAAATTGCGGTTATATAATTTCATCTAAAAAATAAATAATTTATAAACAATTATATAGTTATTACTAATGATAATTAATAATAATAAATTAATTCAGAAAAGAATATTTTTCACCTGTAAATGCGTTAAACCTGTAATATTATCAGTTATATATTTTAACCACTGACTTAAAATGGCACTATCATCACAATGAATTACACCAGTACGTGCACCATTTAATCCTCTTACTTCAAACGCATTTCTTCTTAATTTATCTGTTCCAAAGATATATCTTGTTACATAAGCCATCATTAATGGAACTGAAATTACATAATATTTTTTTAGAAAAATTTCATCTTCATTTTAAAAAATTATTAATTTCTTCAAAAAAAAAAAAATGATTAAAACCTGTTATAACATCTATCCATTTTTTATATTGCATTGAAGTAGCAGATGCATTTGAACTTTGTCTACTATGACCACATCTAGAACTATCATTTTGTCTATTAGATGATGATAACCATTCATCTTCTGATCCTCCATTTGCAACATTATCTAATTTCTCTTCTTTTTCTAAAAATTATACTATTATTTTAAACCAAAATTATAAAAAAAATGCTTAAAATTTATTAAATAATATTTACCATTTTTTTGTAGAAATGGCTTTGCTGCACGATAATGTTTTACTGTTAAAACTACTATATCACCAGCATTTCTTAGAATGTTGACAGCATCATCATGATTACATGCAGTTATATATTCTCCATTTACTAAAATAAAAATATTATTTATAAAATTAAAATTATATATTTTACAAATAATTTTATAACTAAAATTATTTATTAAAATTTTATAAGATTGAATTACTTTAAATAATTCTATTATTATATATATATAATATATTATTATATATATTATATTATATATATTATAATAGAAATAATTTCTATTATTTAAAAATAAAATTTTATAATATAAATAGTATAAATGAATAGCCAACAGAAACATTATTTCAAAGAGAAAAGCCAATATTGACAGGTCTGACACAAATAGGTATTCAAGACTATCTATTATATATATATAAACATTTACTTTTTTAATATAAAAAAAAATATTTAAAATTTTATGAAACTTTTTAATAATTAGTATTTAATATATTATATTAATTTTATTAAATTTAATAATATATATTAAATTTACCTTTAATAATTGCATCTCCTACAAATAGTTGGCCACATTGATCAGCTGCTTGGCCTTTATAAATTCTAGATATAAGTACAGGAAGTTTATGTTCTGCTCCTCCTTTTATACTTAATCCTAAGCCTCCAACTTTTTGTCTTGTAATTTGTACCATTCTTTCTTTAGCATCTAATGGTGGTTTATTATGATTCGCTGTCTGCTGAAAATCAGTAATGTTTTTTATGTATGCTGTATAAACAAATCTTATGATATAAAACAATGATATTATAAACTTTACCTCTAAATCTTCTCTTTGAAGTTTTAAAACTTCCATAGACAGATGTAAACGCATTGGTACTGGTTTACTTTTTCCATCACTAACACTCACCATCCCTGTTCTTACCTTTTCAAATGTATAATAAAAATTAAATCTTGCATATTTTAGTTAAATTAAATATCTTTAAATTAAAAATAAAATTTTATTAAATTATATTATAATTATTATATTGTTCCAATGCTTTGTATATTTATTATGTTTTAAAAATATATTTAGTATTTATAAAATATATTTATTATATATATAATTCATTTTACATTCACGATTTCATATTATTATTTATATAATAAACTAATATCTTTTTTTCTTATATATTTTATTATTTACATAATTGCAATTGAAATATGAATATAAAAATACTATTATATTATATAAATATTATTATTATATATTATTATATTATATAATTATTATTATTATTATATAATTAATAATATTATTATTATTATTTTTAAAATGCATTTGTAATATAAATAATTTCTAAAATTAAAAAATATAATTTTATGTTTATTTTATTATTTTAACTCAAAGAAAATCAACAATAAATTTGATTGTAAAACAAATATTATCTTTCATGAATTTAAAAAAAAATAATAAGTAAAATATATTTAAAAAAATAAAAAATATTAATTTCTCACCTTCAATTTCTGATCAATCTTCTCCTCGATCGGAGTACTCATTTTCGTTGCGTTGATTCTCATTATTTAATATAATTATGCAACTAATAAATGCAAATCCCCGTATTGCTGAACGCAAATTGCCGGGGTTGATAAAGTTTGATAAATTGGTGGTATAATAAGGAACATATTAATTTCACACAAATTGTTCAACACAATTATGACAAGTATTTGAACAATGAAAAAATGAGATCATATTCTTATTGCTTATTAAAAAAAATGCATCAACATATTCATAAAATATATATAATCGAGAGTATTTTAATATAAGACACATTATTTATTTTTCAAATTATACATTATGATGTTTTAAAACACTCGAATGAAGCAAAAACCTCGTAAACCGGGACGCAGAAAAATTGGAGTAGGCTAAAAGTAGCTAAAAGCCCGCGGCTGAGACGCATCGATTTATACAATGCAGCGCGCATCAATGGTATTTCATTTGCTTCAAATTGCGGGAAACACAAAAATTGAAAATTGCAATCTTAATATCAATTATTCGAATGTTATTTAAATTTTATGCATTATTTGATAAAACTATAATATACGATATATTCAAAAACCTTAATTCATAAAAAATAGAAAATAATATACAAACAAAATAGATACTATTATATTATATTCTTTGTAAATTTAAATTACTAAAGCTAATATTTCGTTTGTTGTATTATAATATACAATAAATTACAATATTTAATTCTATTTTTAGAAACACAAAAAAAATGTGCATTACATATATAGAAAAAGTTATTAAGACAAATTATTAAGACAAAATATTTTATCATATTAAGTAATGCACATTTATTACATGAAACAATATTAAACAAAATACATAATACGAATTTTTATTAAGTATATGACTTGATTATCATTTAATTTTCTTTTTCTAAATGCATAATTAAAGGAAAGAAATATTTTTTTCTTTAACAATGAATAAAAAAAATAAATTTATACAATTTCGTACTTTCTTTATATAAATCACTTTATAAACTAAGTTTATTAATTATAATTTACATTGATTTGTTTTTAAATAAAAAAATAATTTTTCATAATATTTTTATCATTATTTTTACATTTGTTATGTTTTGCACTTTGCTATTTCATTGCAAGAAAAATGTGCGAATAGCTTGAATGAATTAAAAAATATTATATGTATATATATCGTACAATAGAAATATTTTTTATTAAATAAATTTAAATAACAATTTTTGAAATAAATTATTATGAGAACATGATTGTTTTTAGAAAATCATAGGATGCATTTATAACTCCCCAACTTATAAATGATCTTATACAATTTAAATGTACACCTTTGTAAAATGACATTACATTTCTATTTCTTGCAATGTATATTTCTCGAGTAACAGTCATAAACTTTTCAAAGTTGCCTCCTATTTTTGATTGCATATGTATTTTTATTACATTCATAGGATAAAATACAGTACTTGTGAAACCACCTATTAGAGCACCATTAATAAAACTTGTAGATAATGATTCTTGTTCACCTATCAATTTTTTTGATTGTTCTTTCAAAATAAAGAACATAAGATTAGAACAACTATTTCTATATATAATTGGGACTAATCCACGATAACATTCTGATATACCATGGTTTTTTAATAAATATTTAAATGCATGAGAAGTATTTTTAAATTTATCATGATACCGCCAATCTTGTAACAATGTTTGTACCCTTTCAAGGGGCATAAGTATAGCCTCAACAGTACCAGCAAAATGCGCTGCTAATATTCTAGTTAATACATCATTATTTGTTAATGTACACAAACGTTCCTTGCAACCTTCATACATACTAAACATTACACTAACCGAAAGAGTTTTTTGGCAAAGAGGTGGTAAAATTCCACGATATATTAATCTTATTCCCTCTCTGGATATTTGTTGAAACGCAGTATTGACTGGAACATCTTCTAAAATCTGTCATAATGATAAAAATTTATTTAATATATATTTATTTAAAATATTAAAATATTATTAAATAATTTTTTTTATTTTTTTTCTTACCTGTCTAAATATAATTTTATTAATAGGAAAAGTAATAGATACATTAATTACTGCAGCTCCCCAACCACAAACAAACTCTTTGAAATCATTATTATTAAGTGTTAATAACGATCTTAATGAGACATTTTGTGAAGCAATGTTACTCATATTAATATTTTATGTAATAATTCTTTTTGACTATAATTTAGAATGTACAATCAATCATATTTATGTTTTTCAAATCATTCTCCTTAGAAGATTTGAACTAAATACATCGTTTATCTGTAATTAATAAGTAATTATATAAATTCAATATTTAAAATATTTAAAATATTTCATTATTGTTCACATTATGTAGTTTTTAAATATTCTGATTATCATAGATCACAAACATATGATTTTATAAATATATAACTTACATTTTGTGCGATTCATAATTCAACCCATATCTTACTTTATGTATATCATAAATTTGACGTAAATATACTTTTTAATTCACCAAATTTCTATCATGCATTTCCTTTTCAGTACTACGAACAGTACTAATTATTCATGTGTTGGTTATGTTATTAGGATTTTAAACTTCTTTAAAATTAAATAAAATAACCAATTAAAATATACATAATATGTATGTGCGAACCAATCAAAATTTTGAAATAAAAATATCAAACTTCAAAATCATTTAGTAATAATGTGTTATATTTAGAAGATATATAACTGTAAAAATATTGTAAATTTGTAAACGTTTATAAAAATATATATATTTTTTATATATTTTTTATATAAGTATATAATTTTCTAACAGAATATAAGATGTTAAACTAATATAAATAATATTTTTTTTTAATATCAATACATTAACATCACATGTAAAATATCTTTATAAATACATCTATAATAATCCATAAATAATCAATTAAAATATAAAAATATAATTATAAAATAAATGTATATATATATATATATATATATATATATATATAAAATAATTTAGATTAGCTATTATTGTATAGTTAGTTATATGCATTTCTATATTATAGGTAAATACATAAAAATCAGTGTCTTTTTAAGTTTAGTTCTCTTTTTGTAATACTAATATTGAAAAATTAAAAATTCTTGTTTTAATTTCTTCTAAATATAAAATATATTATTTTTTATTATTATTTTAGTTTTATTTTAAAATATAAAAATAATAAAATCATTTTATTATATATATATATGTATATATATATTTAATCAAATTTGTATATTATAAAATCTTAAAAATGCTACAAATTTCAAATTATATTCGATTAAAATCGCAAAATTTTATCAAAATCATGAACAAACACATGAATCTAAGGTAAAGTATTTACTATTATTATTAATTGTAATTGTATAATTTGTATCATATCGCATAATATTAACGAAATTATTGCATTTCATTTATATGAGCAATGATTTATACATACATATATATATATATATATATATATATATATATATATGGACTTTGAACAATTATATATATTTATACATATATGCAAACTATACATTTTGTATAAATTAATATAATAATAATTTGATAATTAATAAATAATATGTATAAGATGCATATATAAAATTATGATATATATTTATATATAAATTATATATATTTAATAAATTATATATATTTATATATTTAATATATAAATTATTTAATATATAAATTATTATACATTAAAATGAAATAAATAGATATAATATGTAAAAAAATGAATAATGATTTATTTTTGAATATAAAAATATAGATTTTATATAAAAAGTTATAAAATTCTTTTAATATTCTATAATTTAGAATTTAATTTAAAAAAATTATTAAAAATGATATGTTTTAGATGTTTAGCAACTCAAGCTGTTGTAGAAAACATAGTAGAAGAAAAAACAGAAAAAAATACAGCTATAAAATATCAATCTTTTGTCAGAAATATTTTTATTAGTCAATTAGAGAGTAGTCAAATATTTCCATTTCCAGAAGTATTAACTGAAGAACAAAATGATACATTAAGATTATTAATTGATCCTATGGAAAAATTTTTTGAGGTAATAAAATTATAATAAGAAGGAAATGAATAAAAAATCTTTTTTTTTTTTAAATTTATAATTGCAATTTATTATTAATTGATTTAAATTTTTGTTTAAAGAAAGTAAATGATCCAATGAAAAATGATGATAATGCATCAATAGATGAGAAAACTTTACGATCAATGTGGGAACTTGGAATATTTTGTCTTCAAGTTCCTCAGGAATATGGTGGATTAGGATTAAATAATACTCAATATAGCAGATGTGTTGAAATATGTGGATATAATGATTTAGGTATTGGTATCACTTTAGGTGCACATCAAAGTATAGGATTCAAGGTATATATTTATTTATACATAGAATATTTTACATGGATATAATTTAATTTAATTTATACAGGCAATACTTTTATATGGTACACCAGAACAAAAAAAAAAATATCTTCCAAGAGTTTGCAATGGTGATTATGCAGCATTTTGTCTCACAGAACCAAGTAGTGGTTCAGATGCTGGTTCAATTCGTTCTCGTGCAATAAAATCTGCAGATGGTTCACATTATATTTTAAATGGCAATAAAATTTGGATATCAAATGGTGGTTTAGCAGAAATAATGACAGTTTTTGCTCAAGTTCCTGTACAAGATCTAAAAACTGGTAAAATTAAAGATAAAGTTACAGCATTTATTGTTGAAAGATCTTTTGGTGGTGTAATAAGTGGACCACCGGAAAAAAAAATGGGTATTAAATGTAGTAATACAACAGAAGTATATTTTGAAAATGTTAAAATACCAGCAGAAAATATTATAAAGGGCGAAGGACAAGGTTTTTCGGTATCAATTTATTTACATAAAAAATTATAAAAAATTTAAAAGGATATTCAATATATTTTGTATTTTATTAGGTTGCAATGAATGTTTTAAATAATGGTCGATTTGGTATGGCTGCTGCTCTTTCTGGAACTATGCGTTATTGTATTAAAAAAGCAATTGAACATGCAACACAACGAGTACAATTTGGACATACAATAGATTATTATGGAAGTATTCAAGAAAAATTAGGTCGTATGGCAATGTTACAATATATAACTGAAAGCCTTGCATATTCAATTGCGGGTAACATGGATAATGGAAGTCAAGATTATTATTTAGAAGCTGCAATTTCTAAAGTAAGATTAATTTAAAAAGATAAAGTTGATATCATTATTTTAAAATAATTGTTCTAGTGTTTTGCATCAGAAGCTGCATGGTGGGTTTGTGATGAAACTATGCAAATATTAGGTGGAATGGCATATATGAAAGATACAGGTCTCGAACGAGTTATGCGAGATTTACGTATTTTTAGAATTTTTGAAGGAACTAATGATATTCTTCGTATTTTTGTTGTACTTTCTGGACTTCAACATGCAGGAATTCATTTGCAACAATTAATGTCAGCAATTAAGATTCCTACTATCAATTTAGGATTAATATTTGAAGAATTAAGCAAAAGAGCAATGCGAACAATTGGATTTTCATCAACACGTAATCTTATTCAATTAGTTCATCCCAGATTACACAGTAGTGCTACATTATGTGCTAAGGTTTATATTAGTTTATAATAATCGATATTAATAATTAATTATTAATTTATAAATAATCATTTATAGAGCATAGAAGCTTTTGGTCAAATTATAGAAGGTGCTATTATTAAATATGGACCAAGAAATATTGTGGAGCAACAATTTATTCTTAACAGACTAGCTCAAGCAGCATTTGATATATATACTATGGCTATTATATTAAGCAGGGCATCTACATCTGCAAATAAAAATCTTCCAAATATGGAACATGAACTTCTTATGGCAGAAACTTGGTGCAATGAAGTAAATATACTTAAAATTAACTTCAATTTATTTTTATTTTTAATAAATATTATTTTATTGTAGGCAACTAATCGTGTGAATAATAATTTAAAATTTGATAAAAAATTGAATATATTTAATAATTTAAGTAAAATTTCAAAGAATATGTGTGATGTTGGTGGATGTGTTCAATTAAATCCATTAGGCTTTTAATAATAAAATCAATCAAATAACTAATCAATAAACATAGAATTGTAAATTATTTACTTAAAACAATAATAATTAATTTTTAATTATTTTTTTAATTATTACAATAATTTTGAATATATATGAACTTTAAATGCATAAAATATTCCAATATGAATTAAAATGTAATATTAAAGTTTAATAGTTTTGTAACAAAATTAAAATTTTTTATATGAAATAGATATTATAAATAAACTTATATAAAAAATATACACATGAAAGTAGATACTGTTTATTTTTCATTGAATCTCATAAAATAGTGAATTGAATGCTTAAAAAATAAAACAACGTATAATAGTTCTTTATATAATAAATTAAATGTAAGTATAGAATTTTGTTTTATCATACATTTCAAAATGTTTGATAATATTACTCTATATATAAAAAAAAATACTATGGTATTTTAATTTATAATTAATATTAATCTTCGATTATCTTCATTTAATTGTAATATAAATGCATAATTTAACAATATCACAACATTACACAAAGGTAAGAATATATTTTTTGACAATTTTTTTATCTGTCTATAATATGGAAGCACATAGAATATAGCCATTGTATGATTTAACTTTTACAGCATCCATATAAGACATTAATAACATTAAGTGAAGTGAAATGAAGTACATGCAAAAACAAAATTGCATCTCATTATTATGAGAAATATACTTAAGTTTGAGAATCAAACCATCAATTTTTTTTTTATAGTGTATAAAAAAAAGAAAAAGTTATTATTGATTATATAACAATAATTTTGATCATATTGAAGTATAAAAATAAAATAATATATTATGCCTGTTATTTTTTTTTTAAATATGTAAAATTTTATAGATAAATAATATGATTTGATAATAAATATGTTGTTAAGATTTTGTAACTATACATTGGCAGTGTTTTTCTCCAATTTATAATAATTATTATTTTTAATTTGAGTCTCAAACTTTAAGTTATTAAAATATTTAACACATATAATAAATATTATTCAAATGTAAATAAGATGGCATGAAAGTATTATGATGAGGTATGATTTTATTATTAAATGTTAAAACATGAAATTGGAAAGAATTTACCATTGTGGACAGATATAACTGTAATTCATAACTTTTCAGAAAAATAGAATATTAGATTATTTCTTGATATTTGTGTTACTCCAGGTATGTAATTTTATCTTTAAAAACATATGAATTCCATAACATGAATTCATAATCTGTAATATATTTGTGTGTTTCTCCTATGTACTATACCTTATGGTCTAATAAGCCTTTATAAGAATATCAGTAATTATATTATATCATGAATAAAAAGAATAATTAAAATTAAATAAGAATCAATGTATTAAAATATAGAAACAAAGAACGATTTCACGATTAATTATTAATATAACAATTTTTTAATATCATGTTTATTTAATAAATTTTCTTCTTTATTAATTTTGATTTTCATATCAAATTGAAATTTTTTTATAAGAAAACAATATTCTTCATATTTTATTAAATTATATTTAATATTGTTCTCAATAATTTCATGAATTAACTTGAATTCATTAGAAAATTGATTCAAATATTATATAATTGGTGTATTAATCTTTTATTTTTTAATGGTAATGTTATTTTTTTTTTTACATTTTTATAATTTGCCTATTATATTTTTACGAAAATAATAATAATGGAAATGCAACTTTCTGCATTTTTTTAATAATCTAAATGATTGTTTTGTAAATATACAGCAATTGTATTTTAATTAAATCTTAAATTTATATAAATGAACATTTATAAAATATATTTTAAAAATGAACATTTTAAAAATAAATTTTCAAAATATATATTATTTTTTTTTCATGTTTAGTGAAATCACTCTTTCGTTGTATCTATTATCTTCATAAGAAACTGCATATATAGAACTAATCAATAATTTATAATATTATTTAAAGTTACGATTTAGTAGGAAATTTATAAATGTAATATATAAAAGCTTCCAAGTACAAAGTAGTAAATAATATAGGAAAACAAAATTGTTAATGCTGAAATTAGTTTTAATTAGAAAATTAATTTTACAGAAAATATAAAATAGAATTTTAAGAAATTAAAGAAATATTACATAATTGAAACTTTGTATTTTTTAATGTTAGATTATATTTAGTTGCTCAAAAAATATGAAAGAAAATATGAAAGAAAATTTAAAATTTCAATAATACTATTTTAATATCATAGTCACAATATTTATAAACTAAAGATTATTATTACCAAATAAAATTAATTAAAATTAATTTTTATGTAATTTTAATGTAAGTCATCATGTAATTCTATAAATTATTTCTTCACAATTTAAGGATATATGAAGTATCTATATATATATATATATATATATATATATATATAACGGAAAAAACTATATTATCATAAAGCAAACATTACATTATTATAATAATCTATACTATAAATTTATGATTAAAACTTATTAATTTTAATAATAAACAATGATTTTGTATCATTAGTTACCACATATGTACTTATAAGCTTAAAGATTTTTAATGACACAGTATCACTACCTGGAGTAACTTATAAGAGTTAGAAAAGCTAACCCTGTGCTATAGACAAATTTTTAAATGTTTGTCCATTCCAAGCAACTGAGATACAATAATGTTGCAATAATTGAACTAAAAGTTCTCGCTCATCCAACATTTCTATATGTTCGATTCGACTACGATCATCTTGAGGCAGTGAATCATAGACTTCTACCATTGTCCATGCATTAGAGCCTTCCCAACTGTTTATTATAAAGCTGAAATATATAATTTTATTTATATAACTTTTATAATAAATTCTTATAAATTTTTCTAAAAAATAAACATAAAAAGAGATAGATATACCGTCTTTGTTGAGTTTCCAAAGATTCACAATCTTCTACACCTGCTAACAAACATCCACGACTACGTAAATTAGACAACATAACTTGGCCAAATTTATCTTTCATGTTCACTTGTTCATAATTAACAAAAATACTATTTGGAAATTTTCCAGCAAGCCATTTTAACAATGCAGAAGCTGCACTAGTGTCTATATATACTAAAACACATTCTGCAAGGAACATGGTTGGAAGATTAAAATTAACTTCTGCTTGTGTTAATTTATTAATAAGTTCAGATATGTGCCGCAGATCTATTCCCACCAAATGATAATTGGCAGCATGTAGATCTGTTGTTGAAAACCTAATTTCTCCATCTGCAAAATAAATTTTAATTAATAAAAATTTGCATAAAGATAGAAAAATTATAGAATTAATTAGAATTTAATATTATAATTATGTACCTTCTGTATTTAACATATCTATCAATTGTTTATGTTTTTTGATGTGATAACATTTTCTAGCAGTAATGCTAGGAAAATCAAGTTCTATAAAATTTGCTGGACTCTTTCCTGTTTCCTTAAGTCTCCAATAAAGTGTATCAAATCCAGCACCCAAGTTTATAATTTGTCCTTCTTCACCAGATAGCTATATTTATCACAAATTAATTTTATTTGTACATTTTAGATAAATAAATTTATCTATATATTTATTTTTATTTAAATATAAAATTAAAATAATAAATATAAAATTTATTCTATATTTTAATGTATTTAATGTATTTTTTCTTTTTATATAAATTAGCAATTATAAAAATTTATAAATAATAATATGAAAGTATATATACATTATGCAGTTTTATTTAATCATTATATTTGAAACATAAATAATTAAAACAATTTTTTTCATCTTTTGTTAATTAAAAAAATTTTAAAAATCATTTAAAAAATAATGTACTTTCAATTGTTTGTTATTTCTATACAAAATATCCAATGTGTATATAAGATTGACCTATTTTATTGTTTCATGATAAAAGGAGGACTTCGGAAATTAGGACAGGGCCTCGGCCAGGTCAAGGTTTCCGGCATTGCATGTCCTTTGCTACTCAAATCAGCTGTATCCCGGATTGTTTCTATCATGTTCTAGGTTATGCCAATTTTGAAGATACAAAAACGAAATCTAAAGGAAAAAAAACTAGTACATACCTTAAGGAATTTGTCAACGAACACCTCAATTCCTTTTACTCTCGCATAGTAACCGCGATTGATTTCAGGTGCTTTTCGACCAGTTTGTTTTACGAAAAAGTTGATAAATGGATCGGACCAGTAACTAAGTTGCACAGCATATCTTTTACACTCACTTGCATCATCATTAGTGGCCTGTATGGCCTCATCATCAGCCATATCTTTGATCATTACACCAATTTCGGTTCACTTCAGTTATGATAAATCATTATTCGAAGTTTTCTTAATGTAAAAACCGTTACTTGTCACTCATAGAAAATTGTACAAGCGACCATACTACTTAAGACTATATGGAGACTGCCGTAGACTCGCATCGCATCTACTTGCGGCGCAAGCTTGCACCTGCTGTGCGCGTTATCTGACAATAGGGATATATTCCCTAACCAATATTTTAATACGTAATAAATTTTATGTGTATAAAATTAATATATTTTAATATAGATTATTGTTATTTGTAATTTATTTTAACTTGCAACTTTCATTAACTATATTATATATATGATATATATGATTATATATTATATATATGATAATAATTATATTTATTATTATTAATTAAATTAATCATATTAAATTGATCAATAAAATTATTTTATAATAAAAGATTTTTAAAAATGAGTTTGAAGTGTTTTTGGAAAATTGAAAAAAAAAAATAAAAAATGAAATTAATATAATTATAATTGATATTGAATAAATTATATTTGTAAATTAATCAAAAAAATACATTTTTTTTTTTAAGCATTTCTATATAATAATGCATTAAACAAAAAAATATGTAATTTCATTATTTATTTATCATAAAATTAAATATAATAAAAAATAATTTATTATAAATAAATTTTCTGTTCTATATTATATACTGATATGATTATATATGATATATATTGATATTACATATGATACGATATGATATTGATATTGATATTTAAATTTAATTATTAAATTTTGCTTACAAATTAAAATGGATTATTTTTAAATGATAATAAATAAAATTATATATCTTTTGATTTTAATAAATGTATTTAAACACAAATGTCTGACAATTTTTTAAATTAAAAATTTATGTGATGATAAAATGATTGCATATTATATATGTTATGTGTATATGTATAAATATAGGTACAAATTGATACATATAAAATGTATAAATATATAATTATTTTTTATAACATTTTTTGATCAATTGTTCTGTAAAGATATTTTTGTGCATTTTTATTAAAATAATGTATATTTTAATTAAGTTAATCAATCACAGCTACTCATACATATGTTATTAAATAAGTTGAAGCTAATATATGAGTAAAAAATTAGTTAAGACACATTAAAATAATATATATCATTATAATAATTATACAAAAAATTATTCCTTCAATTGTATTTCATTTCAATATATGCAAACAAATAGATAGGGATAATATAAAAAAGTTTTATTTAGTACTGACATATAATTAAAAAAAGAACATATGTAATGTAATAAAATATATATAAATTATGAAACAAAATATTATATTAAAATATAATATTATCTAACAAAATTTCAAAATTCAAACAAATATCAAATCTGTAGGTGATACTATTTAACATATATTAAAAGTATAAAAAATTATAAGAAAAGACTAGTGAGTATCACCTTTTATTCTTTTTATAGCTTCTAGAATTTTTAAACTTTTATGTAAAATATTTAAATAATTATTGTCAATTTTTATGATTTAATTCTATTCTATATCTGATTTTTTAATAACCGATTTTGCAGCTATAGTTTTCACTTTTCTTTTAGGTGGAACTGGAACTAAATCAGAAGTACTAGATGTTGGAATTTCAGAAATAGTAGTATCAGTAGAAGTTCTTTGTGACGATTTTATACCTTTTTTAACAACTTTTAAAGTCTTTTTTTGTTTATTAAAAGAATTGTTGTCTATTGTATTATCATCTAGTCCTTCTTCTGATTTTAATTTTTTCTTTGTATTCTTTTTTACTATCTTTTTTGTTACTTTTTTTTTAGTATCACCATCATTTGTTTCTACAAGTTCTCCTACTGATTTTTCTGTAGATTTTTTTACTATTTTTTTTATTAATTTTTTTTGACTTATTGAATCAAATTGACCAGTTTCTTTAATATTTGTTGAAGATGAAGAATTTAATTCTTTTATTCTTAAAGGTCTAACTGGAGATTTGTTTAATATTTTATTTGTTTCATATTCTGATCCTATTTCATTTAATTTTATTGTTTCTTTTATACAATATTCATTTTTTTTTTGTTGTTCTGTTTGTTTTTGCAATAATTTCTCTGGTATTTCAAAACTATTTGAAGATAATGTAGGTTCAATTTCTACAAATTGAGGTTGAATTTGTTCTACTATCAATGAGATTTGTGAAGTTTCTTTTGATTTTATTGACAATTTATTTAATTTATTGATAGCATCAATACTTTTTATATTTGTGGTATTATCTAAATTTAATTTCTCTTTATTTTCTATTGAAAGTTTTGAATCATTAATATGCATTTTATTTTCTGTTTCTGTTAAATGAACTGATGTTATTGTAGAAGAAAGATCTTCTTGCGATATTATTTGAGAATCTAACACAGATTCTGCAACTTGAATTGGAACAGGACTAACTGTTAAAATTTCAGATGCAGTTAATAATTCTTTTGCATATTTTTCATCTTTAATATCTAGTTGATTCATTTGATGAATATCTATAGTAATTTTAAAATCTTTATTCTGTAATTTGTTTTCTAGTTCTTTTGTTGAAATTATTATTTTCTGTTCTCCAATTGAACAAGATTGATTTAAATCAGATACTATAGGTATATTAATCTGTTGTGAAATTTTATTTAATAATTCAATTGTATTATGTTTTGTTATTTCTTCATGAGATGTTTGTAGAGAAAGATTTGTTGCAGGAGAAACTATAAATGTATCATTTTGTGATTCTCTCGAAATATCATCTTCATTCTTTTGATCTTCCAATAATTTAGGTACATTTGTGGTAGGAACATTATTAACTAGAGATTGTTCTTCAGTATGACTGCTTGTTTGAGCTAAATAAAGAAAAAAAATTATATTATATTTACATTTATATAACAATTTACAGAAATGCAATTTAATATATTTCTTGCTTACATTTAAATTTTATATCTTAACAAGATATTTAATAAAAATGAATTCTATATTAATATAAAAATGATCTGCAATATTAGAAATATGATATTACAATATGATGAATTTATAAATAATATTTTATCTATTTAGTTATTTTTTTAATACATATGATATGAAAAATAATTTTAATTTTAATTCTACAAAGGATGATGATTATGAATGAAATTGTTATAGCAAAAGTGCTCTTATAAAATACTGTTTAATATACCAGATATTTTAAATTAATTTAAAGCATATGGAATATAAAATTAGTACTACATTATACAAGCTTAAAAATGCAATGATAAAAAAAATGATAATAAAAATATCATGCATATATGCAGTAATTGTTATTTTAATTTTTGGTGCAATATTAAATATATAGCAAGCTTAAGGTACTTTTGTGATTAATATAAATAAATCACATATATACAATACAAAATCACAAAACATTTTTTATAAATTATTCTAAAGAATTTAAAAAAATTTATCAAAGAATAATTTCAGAAAAAAATTATATTTATAAAATTTTATGTTTTACATTTCTTTAACTTATAAATTAAAGAAATTAAAATCATATATAATATTAGAATATTATAAAAAAATATGATTTATTATAAAATGTATTATAAAATATTATAAATGATATAATTTTTATGATGCAAGTTTTAACATATAAATGTGCTTGTTTAGTTATATATCACAAACTCTTTTAATTTATTTAAAATTCGCGAATTTATGATGATGCGAGTTCTCAAAATATTTACCCCATTAAAGCAAAATGACATTACAAGATGTAGCAATGCTATGGCGCCAGGATCTGTTAGTTGCTGTCCTCCGTTCCTGTTTCAAACACTTAAACTTGATAAACTGTATAAAAAACATATTGTTTCATTTGTTTAAATTATGTCAAAAATATGCATATATTATTAAATACAATTTGATTGTGTTCAAATTAAATTCCTATAAAAATCTTCATGAGTGTAAATGCCACATGCTGTATTAACAGGGAATAGGGAGGAAATAAAATCGCAAAGCATCTTTATAAAAACAGTTAATTAATGGCTTTGCATTACGAGCACTTTAATTTTTAATTTTATATGTATACAATTTATATTATCAAAAAATTTTATTACATGAAACCAATATTTTGAATTCTTCCTGCTTTTATATAATAATTATAATTATTATAGAATAAAAATTTATTAACTTTAAAAATTGTTTTTTTTTATTATTTTTAATTAAATAATTTCTTCATAAAGTATTTATAAGAAATAATATAATATAAAAATAATACATACCGGTTCTTTTATCCATTTCATCTGTAGACTTAATAAATTGAGTAGTTTCAGCAGATTTAATAAATTCATCAGTTTCATCAATTGTAGTTTTAACAGATTTTCGTATTTCCTAAATCATATATTATAAATATATTTCTGAATAAATTTTATTTTCCAATTTTATTTTGATTTATTACATATTATTCAATTAATTACTTTAGGAGGAGATGGTAATCGTGGAGGTGCAAGAGCAAGAGTTTCACAAATTTTTTTCCAAATGTTATCAAAACTATCTCGACCCATATAATCTATTTGGCCTTGTTCCCAACTTTGTTTTCGCATATGTTCTTCTAATGCAATTTGTTCAGAGCTTCTCGGTTCACCTAATGTCATTTGAGCCAAGGCACCAGCAAGACCAGCCTATAGAATCAAAAAAAGTTGTTCTATTTAAAAATTTGCAATATAATAAAATTAAGAATATAAAATATAAGAATATAGATTAGAATTATCAATATACATTCATATATACATTCATAAAAAATTACCTTACATGATTGTCATATTTAATAATGAGACTATATAATGCATATACCACAAACATGAAACAACACAAATTTAATAACACAATAATAAAAATAGATCATATAAAATCAAAATTATAAAGTTATTTTAAACAATTATTATTTTCTAAAATCACTTTCTTTTCTCTATTATAATATAGAATATGGAATAATATAAAAGAAACTAAATTTGTACTAATAATATTAGTATTGTAAAAATATATAATAAAAAAAATTTAGGCAACTATATTAAAGCTGCAAGTAATGTCCCAAAAACTACTAAATATACAAGCAATATATTTAAAATTATAATGCAAGTACTAAAGCAATACAATAAATGAATTTTAAAAAATATAAATAAAATTTTTTAAAAAACAATAAAAAACAAATTTTAATTTTAAATTAAAAAAAAAATATATGGGAATAATTACTTACATTTGAATTATTTAGATCATCCATTATATGTGGATCAGATTGCGTTGCTACATTGTGGAAATCTATACAAGGTTTGGAATCAGGATGAGGACTAGTAGATATTAATGTACATGTTTGTTTGTCTGTAATGTTCATATTTTCATTTTGTTCAATATTTTGTTTAATTAAAATATTATTCTGATAAGTTATATTATTTAGCATAATATAATGTTGATCATGAATAATATTGACATTTAAAGAATCATAAGTTTGATTTTTTTGTTCATGATGTTGAAAATGTTGTTTATTATTTATATTATCGAGCATTTGATAGTAATGATCATCATGATGATCACTATAAAGTTTATGTGGATGTTTTACTTCTTCTGACAATGATTTATTATTATTATTAGAAGAATGTTGATAAGTATGTTCATAATTAATATCTTGTTGTTTTGTTTCTTTTGGTAATATATTATTATTATTATTATTATTATTATTATTATTATTATTATTATTATTATTATTATTGCAAGTATTTTGAGAATTATATTGATAGTTGATAGATTTATGTTGATATTCACTAGAATGATGATTTTGTATATGATTATGTACAGGTATATATTTTTTTATATTGTGTTCAAGTTGAAAATAATTTGGCTGTATCTTTAAAATAGTTGTATCATCAGAATTAGAAAATGAATGTCGTTTTTCAATTTTATTGATAAATTGATTAGATTGTTCTTGATTTTGATGATATTGAGTATGTAAAGAAAAAATATGTTCATTATATTGTTGATTATGTTGTAATTCCCTATTATATTTTGGAGATGATTCATGAGTCTGTTGAATAGGCTTTAAGTAATTAAATTGATTATTTAATACAGATACAGGTGAAGAATTGCTGTTTACAGAATAATACTGTTGTTTTTCATTATTTTCTGCTTTATAAATAATTGAATTATTTTGTACATAATAATTTTCCCATGGATCTTGAAACTCTGAGAAATCTGGTGGTTCCAGATATATGTCATTTTGCGTTTTGTCTTGTATGTCTGTACAAATGGGACTTTTTGGAACATAGGATTCAAAAAACATAGGAGAAAATTCGTGCCAAATTGGTGCCAATGTGCTGGTAGCCTATACAAGCATCATGCCAAAACAGAAAAATGCACATTCAATTGGTTAGTGGGAAAACTAATTTAACAGTGTCCATTTTTCTAATATTAAATTTAATAAAAAATACTATTAAAGAGTAATTATAGAATAATTTTTAGCATACTTAAAAATTTATAATTATAAATTTATATGTTTATTTATCTTTTATGTATTTGTATATGTATTTTATTTTTTTAAATAAAAAAATAAAATATAATTTACATATTATACTTACATTCTAATACAAGTTAGGACACTATTGCAACTACTACAATAATTACATAAGATAATATATATATATATATATATATAAAAGAAAATAGTAAATGTTACAAATATATGTATGAAGGAAGAGAAAAAATGGACACTGATCTAAAAAAAAGATTACAAAAAAAAATGAAGTTAAAATATACTAATAGCTGTAATATTCCGACAATTTATAACATTTAATAATATTCTACAAACATAATTTTTTTAATATAACTTTTTTTATATATATTTATATATATTTTTATATATATTTTATATATATTTATATAAATATATATATATATGTATACAATGTACATGTATATATATATATATATATATATATATACACATATACACATATATTATTTTAATTCAGCTATTAATATTTAAATTGAAAAATATATTAATATGAAAAATTATAAATATATTTTAATAAATGTAAAATTATAAAATACCATTCTTAATTAATAAAAATAAATGTAATAATATATTTCTAATAAAAATATTGTGTAATTATTTTTAAGTAGTTATAAATAGTTCTTAAATCAAATATCTATTTCTAATTCTATTTAAAATTCTATTTGAAATAGTTACATGCATATCAAATTTTAAAAATTTAAAACTTCTAAAACTAAAGGATTAATAAAGATTAGAAAATTAAATTTTTTAAAAATCTCTTAATTACTTATTAATATTAAATTCTTAAATATCTATTAATATTGTAAAACATTAATTTTTATATACATAATAATAATACATTTTTATTATGTACAATATGTACAGTTTTAACTATATTTTATTAAGCATATTTAGATATAATAATGCATGATTGTGTTTTTTAAAATGTATCTATAATATTTCTATTCAGAAAATTTTTACAATATAATAATATGATACTAACAAGAGCAATATATAAAAGCATAATATGTGAACCTTACCTGTTTTTTTAATAAACTATAGTGAAACTTATAAAAAAGTAAAAAAAAAAAAAAAATTAAATGTTAAATTCTATAATTTTAAACATTTATAAATTATATATTGAACTCACTGACTAAATTAAGAAAGATTTATTAAGTTAATTATAAAATTAAAATAAGATTAAGAAAAGATTTATTAAATAACTTACCATTACAGGTGATAATTGAGAATGGACTTTTTCACAAAATATGTTCCACCATAATTGTAATAATGGTTGCAAGTGTGTAGAACCCATTGGTGGTTGAACAACACCAGTTAATGTGTCGAAATACTGTAACCATGGTTTTGTAATACCAATAAAATGAATTATTCTAACATCATCTCCAAACCTAATAAGCAATATATATTATTATTTTATTTTTGTTTATGTTTATTCCTTATATTAATAACAAAAAATATTTTCTTACTGCTTGAATGCAGGTAGATAAGAGTATGTAGCAGTAGAACACATATTATAAATAAATGGTAAATGTTTAGAAATATCTTTTCTAGCCCAATCACTAAAATACATATTCAATAATCCTTGGTCACCACCATCAAATGAACCTTTAGCAGCAGCAAATGCAGTAATAGAAGTGAAAGTTTGTTGAGATGGTCTATATACAAATACACCAGAATTGAAACAATCAGGCCAACCCACATCAGGCGCAGCAGATAATTCTTCTCTCTCAAATAGTTCATCACAATTTCTGACAACCTAAAATATAAGCAATATAAACAAATTACAAAATTCAAAATTGTTTTAAAAATAAATTATGTAATTAAAATTAAAATAGAAATTAAAAAACTCAAAATTCTTTTAAAAATACAAATAAATTTTATGATTAAAATATGTTATTTCATAAACTTACAAGTGTATCTGCATCAAGAAATACACACTTTTCATATTGAGTCAATCTCCAGCAATGAAGTTTGGTGAATGTAATACCTAATTCTGGTCTAGCTAAAAGTGCCAAATTAGCTTCATCTTTTGAATCAAGTACATTTACTTCCATTACTACAGAAAAGATTCCTGAAAGTTTTTCCCTAAATACAAATACACCAGAATAAATACAATTGAAATTAATATTTTAGTTGTATAATAATAATAAAAAAATATAAATAAATCATAATTTTATTATAAAATTTTATTATATTATTATAAATTATAAATTGCATTTACAATATGAATAATATATAATAATAAATGAATTTACAATATGAATAATATATAAATACATTTATAATCTTTTTTTTTTCGTTAAAAAATATTTATTGAATTAATTCTTTTATTATGTACGTACATATATGCACATGCATGTCTATTGAAAAATATCAATTTAATTAAAAATCATTCAAATTTAGCCTACCTCATTATCTGCGTTACTCCAGGAGTAATCAAAACAGCTAATTCATATTTCGTACCAACTCGACGTAAAGAATGTGCCAAAACTAAAGCTCCCAAAGAATAAGCATCATTGGTAGCTAATGTAACCCAAGCATATTCTTAAAATGAAAATTAAATTATTATCAGAAATAATTAATTAGTTAAATAGTTAAAAAATAATTAATATTATTTTTTCATAGTTATATATATACAGTATGTATTCATATAAATTTATAATATAATATAAATTTCTTGTTGATAATCTTATTAATTCACTGTATTTTGCATCTAAGTTGATAAGCCATGCATGAAATGAATAATCCGACATTGAAATATTCATTTGTGAATAATCTTTAATGTTATATCATTAAGAATAGTTAAAATTGTTAGATTAAATAAAAAATGCATTTTAATATATTTAATAATAACTATTTTAATAATAATATATTAAAAATAATATTCTAAAGTCTGCTAGTACTATTGATACTATTATTTATTTCTTATATATTCGTTTTATTTATTTCTTAAAAAAAAAGAAATTATTATGTAAATTTGAAAATGATTCAAACAATTATCTAATGCAATTAATATATAATAATTAATATATAATTAATAATATACAATATATAATAGCAATAGAAACAAGAATAACTTCGAATTGAAATAATTTTTCAATTTTTTATACTTACTATAGGGATTTATATATGTATACAATATTTATATACAATATTTACAAATATTTAATAAATTTTTTTTATTTAACAAATATTTAACATATAGAAATTAATATTTATAATTATATTATAAATTAATATTTATATTTATATAAATGAATATATTATATTTTTTAGAAAATATTTTAAATTTAATTCCAGAAGCACAGAAAGTATGAATACTTTGAATCTCTAATACGATAAAAATAGAGGAGGATACGCATGTCAGAGATTCATTTGATCTAAATAGACGAACTTAAATGTTCAACTTGTTTTTCAGCAATAAGAAATCCAACGTTACCGTTTTATTTATAATCCTTTCTATTTCTATTTTGTAAATGTCATCACTTAATTTGTTTTAGTTATGTGATGAATTTTAAGAAATTCAATTCTTAATTGAATAATAAAAATAATATTTTTACTTATTTATCTAAATAGTATTTTTATTCCAAGAATATGATAAAAAGAAAATATAAAACTTAATACATACATTGTAAAAAAAAAACATTTTACTACATTCTTATATGATAATTAATTATCAACTTTTCAGTTTTTTTAAAAAATTTTTTTTTAGAGATAGGATTATAATAAAGGATAAGAAATATTTTTTATTTATTTCTTGCTACTTCATATTCAAGAAAAAATTATTTGGATGAAATTAACATATCAGACTATCTATGAAATAATTCTATATATATGGAAGCAATAATTAACAAATTAATTATTTGAATAGATTTATAAATACTTATTTAATAATTAATTGTTTTCTGGAAATATTCATCTAAAATCATAATAATCAACATAGGAAAACAATAAAATTCAATCAATTCAAAATTTACTACGCAATATGTGTTTCATGAAACGAAAAGTAGCTTCATATAGTTAAATCATATACGTAATAATTCTAGAATTATTCTCCCCTTCTTAAGCCTTGAAAATATACCGTTCACGTTTCTGGAAAGCGTTATACGTATCAACATTGAATGAGATATTAAGTTTCCAACGTTAAGTAGATTTTATGAAATTATCATTATAATCAAAGGAGAGATACTTTTGCAAAATATTGTCATTTAATATGATGAATTGAAAATTTCTCCAATAAATAATTACCAAGTTATTAAATTACATTAAATAGAACTAATATCAATCGATTCTATTGTATAATTCATCAATAAATATAATTTGCATATTTAATTATATTATGATATAAATATTAATTCCATTATCAATATTATCAATATTATTTTTTAAATCTGAATTCTAGAAGCATATTTTACTATAGATTTATCATTATTATTATTATTATTATTATTATTATTATTATTATTATTATAGAATTTTATATATATATATATTTCTATACATAAATTATATTTCTTAAATATATATTTCTATATATAAATACATATATATATATATATATATATATATATATATATATATATATAGAAAAAAATGATTTTCATTAGCAATAAACAAGTATTCTTATAATCGTTATTTGATGAATTTTTTTGAATGATTAATAAAAATTCAGAGTGATCAAATAAAAAAAAATTCTTTTATTTTTTTTTAATATTTATAAAAAATAAAGTAAAAGAAATAAAATCTATTAATTCTAGGGACGTTTCAATTATTATCTATTTCAGTATTAGTGTTAATTTAAATTATGAGATTAACAGTTTGTTATCAAATTCATGAAATACTTAATAGCGTTTCAGAGTTATTGTGAATAACATTGATAGAATTTCGTAATTTATCGCATGATTTTTTAAATATCCAATTTATAAAACATTATTATTAATATTTCTTATTTATTACAATTGAGAATATTCACGAAAGTAGATTACAAAGATTTAAGTAAAATTAAATGCAAGGAATGCAAAAGAACTATAAATTATGAACATAAAAAGAACAGTGAAAGAAAAAGAATAAATATAGAAGAAAAGCTCGGATTTCTGCTACCGATATATACCGAAACACAATGCGATAGATCGCATCGAATTTTTATTTTTTTATAAATCTTAAGCAAAATTTTTTATATATATATATATATATATATATATATATATACAATATTTATATTGATATTATATAATGATTTATATATATATATATATATAAATCATTATATATAATCAATATATATAAATCATTATAAAATTCAAATCAAAATTAATAATAAAAAACTTTTAAAAATTGAATGTTATTTAAATTATTATTATAATTCTCAGTAAATTTATCTATAATATAAAATATAGTATATTATATAGATTTATAAATAATTATTAATAATATTTTTAATAATTATTAATAATGTAATTATATTAATTACTTAATATTACAAAACAAATCTTTAATATTAAATAAAAATATTATATTGAATATTTTTGTCATTTCTAATATTCATTTACTATTTCTACACGATACTTAGAAACATCAAGTGTATTACTAATGCATATTAACTTAATATTTTTATTATTAATTATATTATTTGAGCAAGAATAAATAAATTTGATTCAAGTTACAATATAATAAATATAAAAATTAAATTCATTTTTTTTAACAATATCCTGTGAAAAAATTCTTATAATTTGTTATATTTATTTCGTAATTACATATAAATCTAAGATAGTTGATGATTATGATGCATGTTAATCTCAAAGCTTCTGACTTTCCTTGAATTTGGCAATGATGATTCTTTATTTATTTCTGATATGTCGACATTATTGCAAGGTAAAAAACATTTATCTTGAGTATGAGAAAGGTAGTACTCGGCTTCTCGCATATTGTAATACGCAGACGAAACCCGAGAGGCAGAGTGCCGGCGTCGTTGTGCCACACAGGTTTATATTTATACAAGCCGGCCAGCTTATAATAGCAACCCAGCCTCGCGTTTGTACAAAATGCATTCATATAGCTTGCCTTAGGTCAAGCACTTGTCTCTTAAGTCTGACCAGATTTCCTTATACAATCATACTTCAGATATATGTCTACGAATCGACACTTTCTCCCGCGTGCTTTTCTACGAATCAAATAATCCATTGTCATTATTGCGCTTATCTTGATATGATGTTCATAAGATATAATTTTCTCGATTACACAGTTCTTTTAATTAGAATATTTATTCATGAATTTTTCATATTTTTTCGAATTATATGTATTACGATATTAGAGATCAAATCTTTTTGATTGAATACTTCTGAGAATTTAAAATTATTTAAAATTTTTTTTTTGGAAATTTTTAGAATTCTAAAATTAGTTTATATTCAAACTTTCTAATCTCTATCTTGTTTTGTTTTAATGAAAAACTTAACGAAAAAAATATAATTTGCAAATAAAATTGTGAAAATTAATTTACTGAATTGATTTATTGAATAGAATTTGATCATTAATATCTATTATTTGAATTTAATTTTATGAATTTATATGCGAATTGTTGTGAAATTCTATAATTGGAAAAAAAATTTGTGAAATGAATTAAATTTAAATTGTTGAATTAATCATTGTCTAATAAATACAGATTAGTAAATACAGATATCGAAAAATTTTTATGAAAAGCTTTTTGATTTAGTAGATGTATATTTATAGAAAATGGATGATATAAAAAAATTTTATATGTAACTTGTAAAAAATAAATAAAAGAAAATAATGAAAGTTAATAGAAATTTAAAAAAAAGAGTATTTGAACAAAAAAATTTAGATTACTTTAAAAATATCAAGATATATTATGTTTAATTAGAATTTTATAATATAAAATTTATATAATTATAGGAATTTTTAATAATAAAAAAATTCAATTCAATGATCATATAATCAGATTATCAAGAATATATAGAATGTATAGACTCGAAGAATGATTTTTATTAAGTTCAATTTAGATAATTACTATTTTAAATTATATAATTAATTTTTTCAATGATTTCATATTCATAATAAATTTGATTTTGTCAAATCATACTTTTATTTTTTTTTTCTTTTTTTCAAATATTATTAAAAAATACCTTTAAATTAAATGTCATTATGTATTTCGTGAAGAACATTCTGATCAAACGATACATAGAATTAAAGATAAAAAAAAAAGAAGATTTGCACTTAACTAGAAATTCATTCTATAAAAAATACGATTACAAATCATAAGATGCATCTAAACTCTAGACGAACATTGTAATCTAGAATTCCGTCCACTCTAGACAAAGGTCAAGATTGAATCTATGTGTATAAAAATAGTGTACGACTATTTCGTGTCGATCATAGTACAATGAACTTAACGATTTAAACTTTTGTTCTATTTTTAATATTTTTTATAATGATGTTTTTATAATGATGTTTCTTCATATGTAATACTTTTTTTCTAAAAATTGTATTTTAATACATTTCATAAAACTAAAATTTTAAATAAAAAAAATCCAAAAAAAATTTGATGCTAAATTTTTTTTATTCTTTTTTTATTCAAATGAAGATTCCTTAAGCACATATCATAGCTTATGGATTACGTCATCATAACGTGTCGATCGATAAATGTATTAATATTAAGTAATCATTAATTATTGAAATTTTCTATTTTAGTACAAAAAAAAGGTATTAAAACTAAAAATAAATATTTATACTAAACTGAACATAATGAAACGCAAAAAATAATATCTTGTTCTTTTAAATAAATATATATATATATTAGATATAGATATATAATATATAATGTAATATACATATATATATACACACACACATATATATATATAGAATAATATTAGTAGAAAAAAATAGATTTTTTTACTAAGTCGAAAAAAATTTCATTAGGTTCAAAATAAATATAAAGAGAGACGAGATTTGGCAAAGAGCCGTAATTTCTCCCTCCGACTGCTAAGAATAAACTAGTAGGAATCCAACACTTATCTTATTTTATGCAAAAGAAATCTTATTTTTATAACGAAAAATAATAAAAAATGAATACACATAAAGAATAAAATCTTTATAAATATTTATATTTCACATTTTAAGCTGATGCAATGTGTATTTAAATATAATTTTTTATAACTTAAAATATAATTTTTATGTGATATTAATATAATATATAAATTAATTATATATATAAAAAAATTCTTTTATTAAAATATCGAAATATTATAATTTAAAGTTTATACTTTAAATTTTAAAAAATATGACACATATATTTGTTTAATTATGCTCATATAAGAACATAATTATATTTTTTATTAAAAAAAAAATTATAATTTATACATATAATCAACTTTAAAATAAATAATAAAAAAATTATAAAGTACAGAATATCAAATTCGCGCCAAGTTTCTATTCTAAGAAAGAAAAAAAATTCACGCATGCGTATAAAGAAAACATTGTAAAGCTGAGCGCGAATTGGACCAATTTTTGTGAAATAAATCAAAACGAAATAAATGTAATTTAAGTTGTTAGACAGATATTATAAAAGAATAGTTTTTTCGAATGTAAACAATAATTTACATAATTACAATAAAATCTAAATGCGCACGTTTTTATGCATTAAGAGGTTATTGTACATTCTCTATGGAAGATGTAATTCATATGAAGGTCATTAGGTCAAGACCGGTTACCGGCGACGTTATCACAGATCCTAAATGAATTCTCAATGAATGTAATTTTTGAACAAAATACGTAAAAGAAAAAAAAAATAAGATACATAAATAAGAATTCAACTTACCACCCATGGTTTTAAAAGTTTTATTTCTTTGTCAATAGATTGATTTTATACACTCAACACTTGTTGTTGACCGCTAACAACTAACAAGCGGTACATCAGTATCTTATAAGCGCTACAAAACGAGTGACGACTTGCGACTCTCCTTCCATGTCACATCGCTCTCCCCACTCTTAATACTACTCAGTACTTATTCTATATTATCGACTGAAGGTTCTGCAGATATTATTACTTCTACCATGAACAAAATATATGATAGATTTTATGATATTTATTTTTATTTTAACATATATAGACATATTATTAACTATCTTGTGATTTTAATACTCCAATTTGGTTAAAATCCAAATTTTAAAACGATAAATGTTTTGAATTGATAAATGATCGTGATCATTTTTTTAATCATTTTTGAATATATTTAATAAATTATATATAATATAAAATATAATTTATAATTAAAAGAATTTATATTTTATTTTAATTTTATTTTAAATTTATTTACAAAATTTTACATAAAATTTTCATATTAAAGAAAAATTTTTAATATATCTTTATATATCTTTCTCTATATCTAATAATATATTAGACAAATAAAAATATGTAAAATATATTTAAAAAATAGATAAAATAAAAAATTTAATCATTTATCTTACACATAAATCGAATAAAAATTAGAGTTATAATAAACAAATGCAATAACATTTAATAATTAATATTGTAAATCTGATAGCTATTCGCGACATCTATCGCAAAAATATTGCAGTAAGATGCGTTTAGTTCCGGGCGTTGCTCAACACAAATAAACATGTATCGTGTAGCGGGAGACGATACGATAGTGAACGAAATTAAAGCGATTTGTTCGCTTGTGCGCTATAATTCTTCAAATTTTAGTGCAAATAGTTTGACATTGTAAAATGTAGCTAATCCTTTAGAACGAAATCGTCGTGGCAGTTGTAAAACTGCAACTCCATGAGATCAATTCCATTTCCATCTCTAGCACGTTGACATTTACTGAGGAGTGGCGCGCAAAAAGATGGCTAGCTCGCCGACCAGTATTGAAAATCAAATAGACAGTTTTTTGGAACAGTTCAAACGCAGTGCCTCCCGCGCGATGGAGGACTCTCATAGATCTACTTACAATGCATGCAGTAGTAGTATCAGTCATAGTCGGAGTGGGAATCTGGATCTCGAGATCTTGGAAGCTGGTAAGTTTTCAAAATTTTGTAATTTTAAAACAATATATTGTTTTTCTTTTATCATGTTTAAATTTTAATTATTTTTTATGATTCTTCTTAATATTTCATTTGCTACTTTCATATACTCTCTTAATTTCCTACTATTGTCGATTGATTTTTCGGGCGTTTCTTGTATATTTCGATGCATTTATCTTTTAACAATATTGTCAATATGAATATATTTAAATTTAACTTTTTCTATGATTGTTATTATGATTGTTATTAAGTTACATTTAGTATAATTTTGTTTAATGTGCTTTATTATTATAATATTATTACAATATATTCAGTTTCTTAATGTTATTAATATATATTTTTTGATTTAATTAATATCAATAATACACACACACACACACACACACACACATTTTGAATAGAATAATAATTATTTGATTATATTTACTTTTATGATATAAATTAAAAACTATAATATATATAAACAAAAAATATAATTATATTTTATATATCTTTTGAAAATAATTTTTATTATAATTATATCATATAATGAAGAATATAACGAGAATATTTTTTAACGTATAAAAAAATATATTAATAATTTTAAATGAATTTTTTATAATTTTTGAATCGTCGTTTTCAAATTGATAGTAAAGTAATATCTTAATGAAATTGTATGTACTTTAATTAAACACTGACAGTGACATGCTGCAAGTCACGTGTAGTTGCCCCTCTTTAGCAATTGAGTCTTTTGTGATTGGTTGTTTCATCATATCTTTGCCTTTATCATGCATTATGGCGTTATACCTTTCTTAAGTTACGATAGAGGTCGTCGTCTGCTGTAGCTGTTTTATAGTGAGAATTGAGGAGTAATAAAGCCGTAGTATAAGATATATTCAATAGGCTCGTAAAAAAAGTATTAAATCAATGTATATTTATTTTATAATTATAAATTTTGCATATAAAATATAGTAAAATTAATTCAATATTTTATTCTTGTGCGAAGTGAGAAAATTATAATTATTTTGAAATATAAATGTGCATAAGAATAATTGAAAATATATTACAATGTTCAAATAAGAAATAGAAACCGGCACCATCATGAAATTTTGTTAAATTATTATATATGATAAAAATTAGAATGTAGTATGGTGTATTAATAAAATAATTTTAATTTAATATAACAATATTAAATTTTTCCGTGAAGTGTTGATTTTAACAATAATATCGTGTAATATTTTGTAACATAAAAATCGAATATAGTGAAATAAAAAAAACAGCATGATTCTTCGACGAAAATCGATGCATGGTTGCAATTGTCCCTGTCATCAGCATTGCTCAACGAAATGTACAGGTTTGAATTATATAGATTTTTAATATTATCTAATTTAATTTTATCATTAATTTCATAATTAGAATTGTAACAGACTATTTTATTTCCTTTTTATAGTTTGAACTAAAAACAGATTATTGATTTATGGGAATATCTGATTTATTTATATGTAGCTATAGTTATGTTACAAATAATCAATATCAATAATTCAATAATTATAAATTTTTAATATAATTTAATTTGTTTAACAATTTATTATGAATTTTAATTTTATATTATATAAATATGTTTTAAATATTTGTACAATGTAAATATTTTTACAATGTTAAAATATATGTACATCATATGAACAATTATACATATATTTAACATATCTCAAAATTTTCACTATTTAAGTATGTTTAAATGTATCATGAATTGAAACTAAAATAAATTATTCTTTAAATATTTAATTCATAAATTTTATGCAATGTAAAATCTCTATATAATACATAATATAAATGTCATTTGTATAATGTGATGATTCAATGCAACAATAGATTTTTCTTGATTAAAATTTTTAAAATTTAAATAAATTATTGAATTGTTATTTAACAATATTTTTGCTTTATTAATATATACGAATAAGTGGAGATTGTTCCATTTATACGGGACTGGTATCGTTATCCCCTCCACGAAATATTAAGAACTATATAGATTCGCTATCTCTTTGAACGTAGTGCTTTATAATGTTAACCGGTATTCGAATTTATGAGAAATTATTACTATGACAGCATATATTTTTAAATGTGGCATTTTTTAAAAGATATTATAATTAACTTCGTGAAAATAATTGTGAAGTTCAGTTAAAAAAAAGGTAAGTAAAATTTGACTTGCCACATACCATAAAAATGAAAAGCCATTGTTACGTGTAGCGATTCTCAACCATATCGATATTAAATATATTTTTTTAAGTATAAATCGAAAAAATATAAATTTTTATTCTTTTCTTCATTTATATTATTTATTGAATTTTTTTATCGTTCTTTATTTTTAAAATACTTTTTTATTAACAAATATATTTTAAACAAATATCATAATTAACATGAATACATAAATAATATTATATCAGCTGATTGTTTAGAATCTTTTTATTCGAAATTTTTATTATAATATTCTCTAAACATGATATTTAATTTATATTTTTAATTTTTGTAATTATTTCTATTCGTATAAATTTATCATTGAAATATTATTGTTTACTAGAATACATAGAATATTAAGACACCTAACTGTATAATATTAAATGGAATATGGATACTAATTTATGTGAAAAAAATGAGAAAAAAATGCAAGCAGATATATCTTTACAAGATACTTTACATAATAAAAATCACAATTTAGAAGTATCTAATTGTCATTATATGGTTAATGATGAGTTGACATATATACAAGCAAGAGAAAAGGTAAGTAAATTTATTTTAATCATATAAAATAGATTAAGATTTATATGACAATATCAATATCAATATCAATTAATCATTATTTTTATAATTTTATATTAATATAATATTAAAATATAAATTTTTGTTAATTATATATTTTTAATATTTTGCATAATATATAAAAGTTTTTTGTATTACAGAAGATACATATGGATACAACAAGTAATATCAAGCAAAAGAAGAGAATAACAAAAATGAAGGTGAAGAAATATAAAAGTGAAGGAGAATCAAGTTATGAGTCAACAAAATTAGAAGATAATTTAACTCAGGTATTGGAAAAATTTAAAAGAGGATGTGAATGTCAAGATGATCAGTGTTTTAAAGGTTTAAATCCTGAAACAGTATATCGTCACAGACTAAATATTGCAGAATTAACCAAAGCTGAACATGATATGTATTTAATGGGTGTTACTATGGCCTGTTTAACCAATCCTTATGAGACAGCAAGACATACAGAACGACGTAGATTACGAGCACAATATGTATATCAGGGTAGAAGAGTTTGTTTAGATGCTTTTTTATATTTAGAAAACTGTACACATTATCAAATAAAACGAATTAGGAAACATTTAATGACCCATGGTGTCACTCCACGAGTTCATGGAAATCATGGAAAAATTCCACATAATACATTTTCATTAGATATTTATAAAATTGCTACAGAATTTTTAAAAAATTTTATTGAATTACAAGAAACAAAACAAAAGACTAAAGTTGCAAAAAATGCACAATTACATCTTCCATCAGATATTACACGTAAAGTAGTATATGATTCCTATATACAATATTGTAGAAAAATATCTCCTGATATAAAAATAATGGGATATTCAACATTTAGAAGATTTATGAAAGTCCAATTTCCACAAGTAAAATTTGCTAAATTAGAATTTATGATTAGAAATCAAAATATGCAGAATCAAGGATGTAATAAAATTGAGTTGGACAAGAAAAATGGAACTAATGATGGAACATCTGAATCAGCAGAACTAATAACAGAGGGCAGTGCCTTATTACCTTTATTAATTGCTAGTGAAACAGGACAAAGTGATACTTATTTTTTAACACCAATTAGCAAATTACAAGATGGTATGAGTTATCAAATAACTACAAGTGGATTTCTAGTCAATAAATCACCATTACCTGTTTAAGATAATATAATTAATATAAAATAATATTTAAAAAAAGTCATTTATATTATAAGTACAATCATAAATATAATGTATATGAAAAAATATACATTTAAGAAATTATTTAAATAATATTTTAATCATTAGATTTTATATAATAATGTATAGATATATAATATAGATATATAATATATAGATATATATATAATAAAACATATATTTTCTTCATATATTTATATTGTCATTATTAAAAATATATGAAGAAGAGAAGAAAAACTAACAAGAAATAACATTAATATTTGCATTAATATATAAAAAGTTATTAGTTATTAAATGTTTTATAACATTATTCATATTATTTTTTAATAAAGAAAATAAGTATCATATTTTTATGTAAAATTACATTTTTCTATACATATATAAAAAAATAATTGAAAATAATAATTATAATTTATGTAATTGTATTATATATTATGAAATTATGTATTATGTAATTATATTATTTCAATACTTACAATTTAACAGATATGTAATAAATAATAGAGATAATAAATGATTTATATTTTTGCAATTTGAATTTTTTCTTTATGTAATCCTATATGTAAATAAGTACACATATACTTATTTGTAATGTAAATGAGTAATACAATAAATAAAATTATTTTATTAAATATATATAGTTAAATTCCAATATATATAAATGTTAAGAATCTTTGCAAAAAACATTTGAAGAATCAGTAATGCAGTGTTTCTCAAATTATTTTTAAGATGTGTTACACATTAAATTAATATATTATTTTATATATTGTTAATTAAAATCATATATCTTTTTATGAAAACCAAAAATGAACATAAAAAAATTGTATTAAAAATTCAAAATAAATAAATATAAAATAAATTCATTTATAAATTAAAAATATATGTATATTTATTTTGCAATACTTTTAAATATGATATATTAATATATTTTTATATAAAACATTTTTATATAAAACAATATTTTATAATTTATGTAATGTTAATTTAAAATCATATATCTTTTGAAAGCCTTTTACTTTACAGTTATAGAAACATTGCAGGTACAGCAGAAAACTGTAGTTTTAGTTAGTTGGAATCAAGGTCACATAAGTAAATATTACATAAGTGATTGTCTATATAATTAGATAATATTATCAAAATATTTATTTTAAATAACTACATAATTGTAAGATTCAATAATCATTTTTGCCAGACATTATTAATATTTATTTATAATTTATTTATAATATAATTATTTACAATATTTATTTAAAATTTATTTAAAATTTATTATATATTATTATTTAAATATATTATTTCATGTTAATTTCATTTATGTTATATTAAACATTATTTAAACATTATAACTATAAAAATAATATATATATATATAAATATAAATATTATAAATTATATGTAATATTATTTTGTATTTTTAATTTTTAAATATGTAATTCATTTGAATTCATTTGATTTCATAGAAGATGTAGAGAGTATGACAGGTGAGATTGAAAATGGAGATTTGGCAATCCGTGATGTTGCAGACCTTCTTCAATCACAATATGCTATCATAGCAGGTAACATTAGATAAAAATTAATATTAGATAAATATCAAATAAAATTTAGTCATATGAAATTTAATGCATTATTAAAAAATATATTTTAAACTTATTAAATTTTTTAAATAATATATTTTGCATAATATGTTTAGGAGGAAAAACTCGAGAAGGATGTCCCATAATTACTTTTCCTGATAATGGTAATTTTCAAAATTTATCTGATTTGGATTATCAACGTCTCATGCTATATCTTACATCTGTACCAACGTAAGATTTTAATTATTATATAATATTATATAAAAAATAATTTAAAACATTATTGGATAATTTTTAGATTACAAGAAGCTGATCTTGGATTTCATTTAATAATTGATAGAAGAAATGATAAATGGAATTCTGTAAAAACTGTGTTATTAAAAATTTCTGTAAGTATATATATATATATATAAATATATACTTACAGTATATAAATATATATTCTATAATATACTATAAGTATATATTCAGAAATATAATAATAACAACATAATAAAAGATTTTAATGTCATTATTTTATATTTTAGGGCTTTTTTCCTGGTTTAGTTCATATAGCATATGTTTTACGTCCAGCAGGATTTTTACAAAAAGCTATTTCAGAAGTGTCAAATAAATTATTTAGAGAAGATTTTAAATTTAGAGTTATATTTTTAGCAAATATTGCTGAGCTTCATGAATTCATAGATAAAGATCAACTAACTGAACAATTGGGTGGTACTTTGCCATATTGTCATCATACTTGGATACAAAACAGAATTGTAAGTAAAATAATAGAAATAATCACTTATTTAATTTAAATTGTATTTTGTATTTCTCTTTTTAGAGCTTAGAAAAATTTTCATCAATGACTCAAGACGTATCTTTTGCATTGGATTCTTTCACACGGCGCTTAGCCGAAATTGAATTTCCTAATAATACTGTTGCAACTACATCTTTATTATCTCAACAACAAGTAGAATATAATGAATTAAAAGAAGAAATTCTTAGTGCTGCAAGACATGGTGAAGCATTACTTGATAGTGTAAGACAATTAACTGGCAAAGGAACAGCTGATAGATTAGGAAATGTGGCAGCTATAGAAAGGTTTAAGATAACTTTACATAATAATTTTCACAATTTACTTTCACATTATAAAGTTTTAATTATTTTTTATTATTATATTAACAAAAGAAGAATTAAGAATAAATTGTTATTTATTTTTAGATTACTTGTTCAATTAGAAGAAACAGAACGTACTTTTGATTTGTTTTGGACACATCATAGTTCTCGTTTGAGACATTGCTTAGCATTGAGACAATTTGAAGCTGATTTTAGAGAATTACAAGCAATATTAGATCAACATTTAAAAACTATAGAAGAAATGACGGAAGTAGGAGAAACTCAAGCAAGAGTTGAACAATTACTTTGTGATACATCAGCATTTCAAAGAATATGTAGAGTATGTATTTATTTATATATATATGTTTGTGTGTGCGTGCGCGCGTGCGTGTGTGTGTGTGTGTGCGTGCGTGGCGCGCGTGTGTGTGTATGTGTATGTGTGAAAGAATGTGCATATATGTGTGTTCGCGCGTATATGTGTATATATATATATTAGTTTATTATTAAAAGAACACTTTAAATTATAATGCAAAGCAACAAAAATATATAATATATATTTATAATATATATATATAATAAATATCTTCAGTAAAAAAATATATTTTAATAATATCTAAGATAAAAAAAATAATTTATTTAACAAATGATTTTAAATATATATATATATATATATATATATATGTATATATATATATATATATCTTAATTATATTATTTTCAACTATATATAATTATATAATATATATAATTATTGAAACTATAATCAAAGAAATATGAGCAATATTAATATTAAAGCTTTAAGTTTGAGAATGTTTACAATGCACTAAGGCAACAAGGTATAATATTCAAACCAGTAAAATAATAATAAAATAATAAAATTTAAAAATATTAGAATTATGATATGTAATTAAAATATTTGTTATAAAAATAGACAACAAATTTTAATAGAAATTCTGGTTTGGATAACTTTATATGTAGTTACACATACATATAATGCACATCATGCACAAATGTTATTTTGCACCGCTTTTCTCATTTTGTCGATAGTCCTATTTGTTGCATACCATGTGGATTTGGGTCTTGGTAAGCAATCCACTCAACAAAATACATATATTTTCTAATAGATTTACATTTTTAAATATGATAATAATTTAATATTTCAATTTTTTGATTCTATTTATTCTATTTTAAGATACAATAAAAATTACTATGTTTTACAATTCATAAATTTTATGAATTAAATCTCTATCAAATCTTTAATTATGTAAAATATATATATTCAATTATTATAAATTAAAAAATTATTCAATAAAAAGTAAAAATATAGAGATTTAATTTATGTTTTATATTGGCATGATGGATTTTGAGAATGAATGTCATAATTATGTCATTTTATATGCACGTAAAATAGTATCTTTTTTAGAATATTTTTTTAGATCAAAAAATATCAATTGATAAAAATGTTTGATAATTGTAGTTTTTTTTATTAATGTTATAGTTTTAAACATGAATAAAATTAAATAAATTTATAGGGAGATATAGAACGAGCAGAAGAGGTAATATCTGCTGGTCAACAATTATTATCTGGAAGGCATCAATGTCCTACAGATGTTGTAGAACCAAAATGTGTGGAATTACAAAGAATTTGCACTATTTTAAGTCAGAAATTGGAAAGGCGATTACATATGTTAACCAAATGTAGAGAACTCATGGAACGTATAGATAAGGTAAATATTTATATTTAAATTTATTTAAAAAAAATCTATTTTTAAATATTTGTATTGTATGTGTATAGGCAAATGCGTGGTGTACTCGTGGAATAGAATTACTTGCATCACAAAACAATGCAACACCACCTGATCAAGCACTTCAAGAGTTACAAGAATTAATAGAAGCTGCTGAAGAATTTCATCATCCAAGATGTATTTTTCAAGATTCTATAATGCCAGAAACTAAAGCTCTTATTACTCAAGTATGTTTTTTTAAGGAATAATCATTTATATAAAGTTATTATAATAGTTATTATAATAGTTTTACTTATAAATATAATAAATATAATAGGTTTTACAAAGAATAGAAGATGTATCTTTGATGTGTGATAAAAGAATAATGACATTAAAACAACAATTAATTAAACCAGCAAGACCAGTTCAGACTGTAACACCTGAACCAATTAAACCATTGCAATCACTGCCACAAATTGTTAAACCTGGAAGAATTCTTAAAAAGGCTAACACTATGCCAAAAGTAAATTATTATTTTATTTAATTTAATATTTTTATTTATTATTTATTAAATTGATTATATTCTTCTAGATGGAAATGAGTCCTATAGAAGGAGAATCTTCATCACCAGAAAGTGAATCTAAGGATATAGAAGCTTTACGTTTAAAACGTGGACATGTTTTAACAGAACTAGTTGAAACTGAACGAATTTATGTTGCTGAATTGGGTTCTATAATCAAAGGATATAAAATGGAATTAACAAATGAGGGAATGACTCATTTAATACCAGCAGTATTAATAGGCAAGGGAGATATTTTATTTGGGAATTTAGAAGATATTTACATTTTTCATGGAGAAACATTTTTAAAAGATTTAGAAAATTGTATTTCAAATACTGAACTTGTTGCATTATGTTTTGTACAAAGGGTAATTATTTATAGATATGTGTATATATATATATATATATAATTTTAATTAATTATTACACAAAATTTATTTAAATTTTTATACTATTTAGCGAGAAGTGTTCTTCAGATTATATAGTTACTACTGTCAAAATATTCCAAGATCTGAAAGATTACGAGAACAGGTACAAAATGAACCACAATTTCTTGCAGCTTGTCAGCAAAGACTTGGTCACAAATTACCTCTTGCTGCATATCTTTTAAAACCTGTTCAACGTATAACAAAATATCAATTATTATTAAAAGATCTTTTAAAATATAGTGATGAACCATCGTGTTGTACTGAATTACAAGAAGCATTAGATTGTATGCTTGTTGTATTGAAATGTGTTAACGATAGCATGCATCAAACTGCAATTACTGGATTTGGTGTAAGTTCATTTTCAATTTATTAAATTTTTATTTTTTTTTATTTAATAATATTATTTTATTTAATAACATTATGATAAAAATGTATATTTTTTTTAGGGAGATTTAAATGCACAAGGTGAACTTTTATTGCAAGGTTCTTTCAGTGTATGGAGTAGCAGTAAACGAGAACGACTTCTCAGGTTAAAACCATCACAACGCCATATATTCTTATACGAAAAGGCTCTTATATTTTGTAAGCATAGTAAACCCCAAGCTCATAACAAAGCTACATATCATTTCAAAAGATATCTAAAGGTAACCTTTAACATTTCATATTTTTTGTATCATATCTAAAAATATTCTGTTTTTATTAGATGTCACAAATTGGACTGACAGAATCAGTAAAAGGTGATGCAAGACGCTTTGAAATTTGGTTACAAGGTCGTGCTGAAGTGCATACGATACAGGCATCTACAGTTGATGTCAAACAATCGTGGGTGCGTCAAATTAAAGGTGTTTTAATGTCTCAATTAGCTGAACTTAAGGGAAAACAAAATTCTGCTCTTGGAAAAACAAATCACAAGTATATATTATTATTATATTATATTATATGACAAATTAAAAATCTAATGATAATAATTTTTTGTAAAATATTTATAGACCTTTACGACAAACGATTTCATGGGAAGCTCAAAGCAGTATTTCAGGATCATTGAGAACTCTTTCAGTTGATGGTAGCAGTGTTATATCGCATATTACAGATATTTCACAATTAACTGAAGATGATGTTGCATGGAGTTCAGAGAATAGTAATACTGATGATGAAGATGCTTTTAGTGAAAATCCCGGTCCTGCTCCTGTAAGTTTTATTTCTGGTAATTAATTAAACAAATAAAGATTAATTAGATAAAGATTAGTAATAAAGTTATAAATTTTATATCTAATCAGGGTGGAAGATATATAGCATTAGCTGATTATTGCGCAGTTGGTCAATCAGAAGTTACAATGCGCGAAGGAGATAATTTAGAACTTCTTAAAGTTGGATGTGCTGGTTGGTGGTTTGTAAAATTAATAACTACTGGAATAGAAGGATGGGCACCAGCAGCTTATTTGGAACCAATAAATCGAAAAACATCACGCAGTTCACAATCAGTTAACAGTCAAGAAACTATTTGAAATAGGCGTCTAACACACTAGAATTTCCTAGTGTGTTAGATTCATATTTATATTCAATAAACAGTATCACTTATTGAAGTGTAGCATTAACAATCATATATTGGAAAGTTTTGTAATACAAAGATATAATCAAGACTTTAAAAATTTTGCATAAATATATATATGAAATATATATATATAAAATATATATATGAAATTTGTTTTAAACTGTATAATATAGCAATATATGTTTGATTAATTGATTAATCTGTGAATAATTACAATTATATATGATATATATGATATCTGAAATAAAAAATTAGATTATGTAATCCATAAATTTTAAATAAGAAATCAGGGAATGAAAAATGCATGAACTTTTTTACTAGATAAAGCATATTATGAAAAAATTTGTTCATGAAAGTGCTTTATGCAAGCAAATAAAATTTGCATTTAGATTTATTCTTACAAAGTAAATAATATTTATAGAAATATATAAAATATATTTATAGGAAGATAGATTAAAGAATATATGCACGCACATATATGAATATTTAAATTTACATGTAATATGTTTGCTATAAGTTATATAGATTTTCATTCGACTTAATATATTTCAATATTGCAAAAAAATGAAATGCAATCATTTCAATTATATATTTCAATTATTATTTCCATAAATTATAAGGAATTAACAGTGCAATTTGTAATATGTAATTTATCCATACTTATGACTTGTGTAATATTATATGCAAATATTCCAAAATTTAGATTAAATTTGGGATATTTTTATTTTGATAATTTATTATTTTGGTAATCTATTACGCTTGTAACATTTTTTAAATAACAAAAATCATGAATAAGAGAAAGAAATTAAATATATGTTATTTATATTTTTTACTAAAATTATATAGATACATATTATATGTATTAAATATATATAAAATTTATTTATAAATTTATTATATTATTATTATATTATTTATAATATTTATTTATTCTTATAAATATTTATTAATTATTTATTCTTATATATAATACATTATGAACTATTTTCAATATTAAAAAAAAAACTTAAAATATGTATGAAATATCGAAAATCGATTAAAAAATTTTTAAAATTTTTAAAATTAAAATAAGTAATCATTAAAATATTTATTTAATGATTTTGTAAATGAAAATTTAGCAGTTCTTGTTATTAGCATAAGCGAAAATAAACTGTTAATAAATCTTACAACCAAATAACTTTATAATAATATATGATTTTAATTTAATAAATAGCTTATTATATATTTCGTTAAAATTTTTTACTAGATTTAACAAAAAAAAAAAACAAAAGATTATAAAGTATTAAATAATATATATATATAAATTTCCAAAATTATAAAAATTAACACCAAGTATCATGCAATATTTAATACTATAATAAATTCTAGAAATATATATAATATAATATATAATATAATATATATATATATATATATAATGTTTCAATAAAGAAAGCAATTTTAATTAGCAATTTAGAATTAATAATTCATTTCTTAAATATTTAATAATAATAAAATAAATGTAATATATAATTTATACTGAAAATTTATATAAATGTCAAAGAATTGAATAAGAAATTGTTAAATATCAATTTTTAATTTGTAGATAAATATGCAATAATTATTTTTATTTTATATTTATGTGTATAATTGAAATAATAATTTAATTACTTGAAAAATGTTATTTAAATATAATTTATATATTATTTATATATAAAAAAATTCTATTGTGATTATAAGATAAATATATATTCAGTACAAATAATTTATTTTAATACTATGAATATCAGTAAAATCATATTATAATATATGGCTATAAAATAAATATGATATTTGAATAATTTGAATAAATTGAAAATTAATAGTTACATTATTAATATTCTATTAAAAAAATGTTCATTTTTGAGCAAATGAAATGATATTTTTCTTTGGTAAAATGAAACAAAAAACATAATTAATTTACAATAATAATGATTTAATTTATTGTATATTTTTATCTATTTATCATTATATACCGTCCTAATATTGACTATTATAAAATTTGATAGAATGAATATATTTTATTTGATGATCAATATCAATAATTTATTTGTTTTGCATATCTATTAATATTAATATTATGAGATACTTTGTATATTGAAATATAACGTTAATGAATTATAATAAAATTGAAAGAATATGTTAAATATTTTTAAGAAAATATAGCTTTAAATTTGATTAATTAATATTATTTAATGTAATGAGTAATATTATTTATTTTCAAAGAAAATTTTAAACAATACAATTTAAATATTTATTTTTTACAGTTTTCATTATTATTTTTATTCAATTTTTATTTTGAAATATGTACTTTAGTATAAGAATATTTTAGAATTTTTTGTAGATATATAAATTGACACATAGACAATAATTATATACCCAATAAATGAAATAATTCCATTACAAATATATCATAGATATTATAATAATAATAATAATTTTTAAAACAAATAAAATAATATTAATATATTTCTGTTTAGAAATATAAGCAGACAAATTTTATAGAAAAAGAATATTTTTTACATTTGTCTTTCTCTCTATATAAATGTATATATTATGATGTAATATTATTAGAAATATTAGCTTTATTTAAAATTTTGAAATCTGAATTGAGTTAAAAAAAATAATTATAATTAAATTATCGATTTGCGTATAAAGTATTGATTAGTTAAGTTATAACGCTTTAATAAAAAATTTCTTTGTTTTTTTTAAATAAACTTAATATTTAATTTATTTTTATATATACATAAAAATAACAGAAATATTAAAATTTTTTTTTATGTAAAATATAATTAAGTATTGAGAAAATTTTAACAAAATTTTAATAAAAAATAATTTAATAATTTTTTGTTCAAACATTGAAATAAATTAATTAAATTAATATTATGATGGTATAATAATATTTTTATTGTATTTAAATAAGAAAAGTTTATTAATCTTTAATGAATATGTTAAAACTTATAATATTAATATAATTAATATTGTATTTTGTTTAATATATTTTGTATGACATTAAAATATATATATTAAAAAAATATTGTTATTTAAATCTATTTTAATATAATTTTATTTATTATCATTTCATGATGTAAATAACTAGATAAATGTATATCTAAACTGCAATAATTTAAAAAAGACAAAATAATGTAAATGTGATTATATAAATAAAATTTATATTTTTTTAATTAATTAATAAAAAATGTTGTCTATTAATGATTAGTTAATTTTATAACATCTAAAATTACAATTTAATTCTATATCATAATCATAATCGATTTAATTCGATTTAAATCGATATTAATTTAACTAGAGAACGATAGATGAGGTAACTGTATATACATGATATACAACGAACCATTTCGTTGTATTCTTTTGGAAGATTGAGAGGAAATTGATATTTATTCGTTACACTATTTATAATAGTGTTATGTACTCTTGATAGTGAACTTTATATAATCGGTTTTGTAAATTTTATTCTTCTTAAATTTTATTAACTGTGATTAATAACAAAAAATGGCTCCGCATGTAGAAACAATACCAAAAGAAATTTTAGAATTTCCAAAAGATGTACCGAAAAATGGGATTAATGCAGTTTTATTAGGACCACCTGGTAGCGGTAAGGGTACACAGGTGAAATTTATTTAATCTATAAAATTTAAACTTAATATTTTTAAAATATCGGTCCAAATTATTTAATTAAATGTTTTATTATATTTTAGGCACCATTATTGAAAGAACGTTATTGTGTATGTCATCTATCTACAGGCGATATGCTTAGAGCAGAAATTAATTCTGGATCTGCTCTTGGAGCTGAAATTAAAAAAATAATTGATGAGGGTAAATTAGTCAGTGATGATCTTGTAGTTAATATGATTGATCATAATTTAAACAAACCTGAATGTAAACGTGGTTTTTTGTTGGATGGTTTTCCTAGAAGTGTTCCACAAGCTGAAAAAGTAAGAAAGTTTAATTCAAAGTTAATATCATGAATAATTAATTTCTTTTTATTTAACTTATAAAGATTATTATATATATAATAATCTTGAAATAATATTAAAATATGAAAAGTAAAGCAAAAAATATTTAATTTTTTAATTAAAATTATAATATAAATTATTTTTTTTTTCTATTTAAACAGCTTGATCAAATGTTAAAGAAGAGACAAACTAAATTAGATGCTGTGGTAGAGTTTGGAATTGATGATAATTTGTTAATAAAAAGAATCACAGGTCGTTTAATTCATCCTAAAAGTGGTAGATCATACCATGAAGAATTTGCTCCTCCTAAAGAATATATGAAAGATGATGTAAGCAATAATAATTATTTTTATTAAATTTGTAATTACAATTTTTTTTACATTATAAATTACAATTTGTAAATGAAATTAAAAATTATGTTGAGCTGCAAATAATTTTTTTGTTAATAGATTACTGGAGAACCATTAATTAGAAGATCTGATGATAATATAGAAGCATTGAAGAAACGATTATCCACATATCATACAGAAACTGTACCTTTGATCGATTATTATGCTTTACAAGGGATTCACTATTATGTTAATGCAGCTCGATCTAGTAAAGATGTTTTTAAAGATATTGATTGCATTTTCCTAAAAGCAACTAAACAACAGGAAAAAAAAGGTTTCTTTAGTCGATTCTTTTAAGATGTTGAATGAAAAAAAATTACTCCTCATTTTTTTCTTGTAAGTAAAAGGGCAATATGTAGTTAATGGGAAATAGTTTTAGAATCAAAATAACTTTCAGTAAAATTTAGCACACTTTAATATGATTTTGAATATAAAGATAATTTATGTTACTTTTAATCAATAGAATATATATTTTTTGTATATCTATAGAGTATATTTAAGACAAAATGTTAAAAAAGGAAAAAATTAATGACTTTAATATTATTTTAATTGCCAACAATTTATATATTCAAAACATTATCACAAGCTAATAAGTCAAATGCACACATTTTAATAATAGAACAAGTTTAATTTAATATTTTGACATATGATTTATTATTTGACTGCATAATTGAATGACATTTATTTTTATATAATAAAATGCATTATTTGTTTTAAAATTCTGTTATAGAATATATTTTCATTTTTTTCTACTCTTTTGTTACTTTTGTTATTATGTTTATTTTGAAACATACATTTCTTAAGACTTTTATATCTTTTGTATAAAATATGTTATTTCTTACATTTTTTTTTTAATTTAAGTTTATATTTGGCAATTTTTAATATGAAACAAAAAATCCAATAATTAGGATATTTATATAAAATGTAAATATAAATGATAAAATTTTAAAAAAATAAA